ACGTGTACGTGTGACGTTCGGTGCCGCTTTCCCGTAAGCCTAAAAGTTTGACGATGGTGTTTGGAATGTCGAGCGTGATTCCACCGACTATCCAAACACCATTGTCAAACTTTTAGGCTTACGGGAAAGTGGTGCCGAACGTCACACGTACACGTTTAAAATGTCTGCCTCAACCTCTCTATTGAATGTATTTATCCTTGTAAGAATTGTTTGTAAAATTATGTTGATGTATCATTTACTCCCGGTAATGCTATTACGCGGGCTGGGATATGTGTGTTCACAATTTATTCCAATCATTTAATTAGCCATATTATAGTGTGTTCACACCTTAGTAAAATAACGATTGATTGATTGTATAAGAAAAAAGTTGTTAAAAATTTTTAGTACTTAACGGATGCATCTATTGTTCCTAGTTCTTAGAGAATACTTACTGTTACAAGTATTTCTATGGAAGGTTCATTTCGTGACTGATTAAAATTATAATGTGACCCATAGTTTGAGAAACACTGAACTATAGGACAAAAAGCTTTACCGTATTGTACCAGATGTTTGTAGCTCAATTTGTACATTTTTTTCTGTAACCAGTCTAATTGCTTTTTGGGCACTGTATTACTATATTATTATAGCTCAGAATTACAACTTTTATGGAATATTACACAGCCATGCCAAGTTTGCATAACAAATTTCAATCTATTGCCAGGAAAGAAAAACAGATTCTTATTTGCAAGAGATGTGTAGAAACATACTGTATATGTATTAAAAACAAAATGTTATGTCATAGCCACACACAAGTAACATAAATTTAAAAATTAATTTGATTTATAATTTGAAAATTTCAAAATAATTTTAAACAGTTTTTAAAAACGTTTTAATTTTCAATTGATTTGATTTTAATTATTTTATCATCATTAATTATTACTTTTAAGTTAATATATTTAGTGTTAATTATAAAAACTAAATTAATTAGTTTGTTTTATAATTATTTTTAATTACTATTTATTTATATATTTTTGCCTGCATTTTTTGAATCTTTACAATTTTTTAATTAGTTACAACTCTCTTTTTTTCTTTTGTGACATAACTAGAAATTGCTTTTGGGAAGTTTTCTCGTAGGTAATATACTTTGAAACAATTTTTCAAATATATATTCATACATTTTAATGTGGATATTCAATATTGTCAACAAGAAGAACACAGAAAAATTAATTTGAGAATGAAACAATTGTTTGCTTCTATTCCATGATTAAATATTCTCTTTACCAGACAATATTTTAATTATGCCAAATGACTTTTCAAAATTTAGTTTTTTTTTAATGGTTTGATGCTTTGAATACTGACTTACTCTTAAATTGAAATGCTATTTTTTTTTATACAAAGTGAAATGTTTAAAATATAATAAATCTTTGTGTTCGTTAATAAATCTTATAATAGTCTCTTATGTGAGAATGTTAAGAAATTGCATAAATTTTATTTATTTTGTATAAATTTCTTTATCTTGACTTTCAAGCTCTTTCATTAAATAGATAAAATACCTTTGACTGGAATGTGCCACGTACGTTGAAAATTGAAAGATGACGGGCGAGATACTTTGATGTCTCGGGCAATGGTAATTACAGATTTGCTAAGCAACACGTGGGGCTTGTTTTGAGATAGTCATGAAAACTGTTGTGTACTGTTTTTGCAACTATCTAAAACAGTCACTTCGGTATAATTATGAATATACTGTTATAAAAAATTTTTAAAAAGTGCATTACTATTTGTAGACTATTGTCTGGCATCAGTAAGTTTTCTTTGGTTACCACATACAGGTTCAACTACTCAAACTGGGTGTATGTAAATAAGCACTAAACATAAACCAGTATCCAGCAAGAAAATACAAAACTATAGAAAAGCATTTGCTTTCCTATAGTTTTGTGTTTTCTTGCTGGATATTGGTTCTGTGCATAGTGCTTATTTAACCTTACTCCAAAATGGATGCATGGTCTTACACAGATGATAGTAAGGGGAGTAATTGTTTTTGGTATAGATAAAATTTTAGGATTGCTATTTTTAAATACAACTAAGACTAATAAGACTAAATTTTTATATTACCTGTAGTTTAGTTTTCATTGAAAAAATTTGACTTTGGAATTGGAACAGTAAATTTTCTATACTGGTTTTAGTACATTTTTTAATCAGAGCTTTAGATTTAGAGTTTGGTCTTAATGTTTTCTTGTGTGTTAATCATTGTAAAACATTTCTACACCACTTTTTAAAGCTAATTTAGTGTTTTGTTGTCCAGTAATTTGATCGTTTTGTATGCTGTATTGTGGCTTTAGTTAAAACAAATGTGGCTCAAATCGAAGAATTTTCTCTGCAGTTTGTCCTGCTACATTTTACAGCTATTAAACACACATGATGTGCTTCGAAGACAACTCAAAAATTATTTTGTTGTTTTAAAATGGTTGGAGTAAAATGAGAAAAAGATTTATTTCTCCAGGAGTGGTGCAGTTGGTCTGAAATTTGGAAAACAGACAATACTCGAGACTAGGTAAACATATTTTAACGGCCACAGAATTGAGGTTTTATATAGGTGTGTGGTCAATATTCCGCGGAACCGCCACTAGCCACCTCGTTCAAAGCAGCCACACGAACAACCGTCTTACCTCGAGAGATCCGTGACCGTGCTTGTTGAGCCCGGTCCGGAATGTAGGAGGTTTCGAGGCGACATCCAACCATATCCCGTATGCTTTCAACGAGTGATATGCCTGGAGACCTGGTAGGCGTGACATCTTCGAGACATTGTGTTTACCACGCGTGGTCTAGCACACGCCTAGCCTGCCGTAAAATGACTCCGGGACCGCTCACGCAACGGTAAGCAGTACGGGCCAAAACATACCGTGTTACGGAATACTTTGGATGACCACTGGCACTGTAGGCAGTGGGGATGTGTTTGCTCCAGAGCTACTCGCAGCTACCTTCCTCGTTTATCGCCGTTATTATAGCAGCGGTGGAACTCGTCAAAATTACACTTTGACATTCCAGATGCCCGGACACCGTACGAAGCAAGACATTTTCGGCAATAGCCAGAGATAGGAGACGGGGTCTCGGAGCACAGCCTGTCTCGACATAAGCCGCGCCATATCGGACGTCGGAACATACCCGTGGCGTACGTTCACAGTCAGACCTTCATCGTGGCCCAAAGGTGATCTGCCGGATACCGACCTACGGACTATAACATTACCTCTCGCTATCGTCTTCAATGTCTATCCAATTTGAACATTCGATATACGGCAGCAATTTTTTTTGTCGACCATCCAGCCTCTGCTAGGACAATAATCTGATCCGTTCAGATTTGGTTGGTGGCATCGTGGGGCAGGCATCACCACAGCCGCACGCGGCATTTACCGGATTTGAGTTCGGATACATCGGCGTACCGCACCATTGCCGAGATTCCCATCGTAACGACACTAGGAACGAGTCAAATTTTGTGCCTAATCGGATCAGTTTTTCGTTGCAGTTAGTGTAGTACAACAGTGAGGCGGGTCTGTTTTTGGTATGGAATAACAAATATGGAAAATATGTGCAAAACGTGATATTCCGTTAGCTATGTTACTGGGCTACGTTGGCAGTTGTTACTAATTTGATAAAGAAAAGAAAGAAATGCAATTTAAACGGAATGCCACGAGTGTGCAAAAGGATTAAATACGCGGTGGGCGTGCCGGATGTTTAATGCCATAAAATTTCGTTATTAGTATTTTGACATTTATGGTAATTAACGATCTTCTATTGGGGGCAGCGTCGGAAAGTTTTTATTCCGGATTGCATCGGGGTTGGGCTTTTATTTGATTATAAATTTGCCAACTTCGCCGGCCACTCATGTTACTAGGAGCGGATGGCAGGTCGGACGCGGTAGAAGTGGGAAATAAATTACGGATGAAATTCTCTTTGGCCGTTAGTGTTTACGAGAATGAAGTGGAATGCATTTTCGTTTCTGTAATATAAAATACTACTGGTTAGGAAGTCGATCGGTTTAATAATGATTTTTACCGGCAATATGGAATGAATTGCGCCACGTATTTAAAAAAGCGATAGAATGGTCGGTTCCCGCGTTTAATTGTTGTTAATAAATCCCGCAATCTCGCGTACGCACTGCCAGCCGGTGGCGCTTTCCGAAGTAATTATAATTTTTAACAATTCGGGTCGTTTCCGTCCAGTTAAGTGTCGTAAACTCGACGTCTGAATGACGGTTTTAGTCGGATGCGTGGTAAAGTAATTACGGCGGTTGGCGTCGATATATTAAATGGGTATTCTTAATTAAAACTAATCATTTTTAACTGTTACTAAATATATATTTTAGGCCCATTAAACTATTTTTGTCGGCAAATTTACCGATTTACTCGAACCGAAGATGCACCGTTTTCGGAGGTCTCCGCGTACTTTACGCTTTGTCCATCGATTAAACGCCGTTCTCAGCGACTTGCTTAAGTTTTTTGCATAAATTTTCCGTGTCGGCCTCTTTGATCTCTCTCCTTTCTCGTCGAGCTTTCATCTCGGAATCCCGTAGGACCCATAAATGAATGCTTAAAATGTTTTGTAATAATGTCGGCGCTTCCTTGGCGTAAAAAAGATTCTAATGCCTGGGGTGGATAACGTCCGCAGTTATTTTGCATTAAAAAGACGGGTTCCTTTCGCAAGTTTGAGAGCAGTCGACTCGTCCGCCATTCTTATTTTTTATGCAGAGAATCGTATCGACTCCGAGAAAGGAGTTACAAGGCGGTAATGCGTTTTGAACTCTCTCTACGGACGGTACTGTACTTCGGGAGTAATTAAAACGATTCGATGCCTTTGTTTTTTTTACAACGGGTTCGTATTAAATTTGGACGTCCCGTAGATCCGTACGTGTTTATGGTAAATTGCGCAATAGTCATTAAGAATTCGACAGTTTTATCGCGATATAGATAATGTCGAAACGACTGTTCGATCGATAATTGTCTAATGGTTTATTATTATATTTACAGTCTACACACAAGAAAAAGACCCGCAAGTTGAGAGGACACGTCAGCCACGGTCACGGAAGAATCGGTAAATAGTTTCTTTTATTCCGTTTCGTGCTCGAAAGACGGCTTACTTTCCGTTCTCGCTCCTCCGCCATCTCCCGGGCGACAAATTTCCGTCGCGCGCGATTTATTCGCCTAAGGGTGCGACTATGCAGACGCGATAAATATCAAACCCTGTCAGATATGTGCGAGAACCAGAAATTCGCTCACGTCGGCGAGATTTCTCGCTTGTGCGTGGTTTGCCTTTGAGAGAACTAAATTCGCGTCTGTACGAAGTGACGTAAAGTAGGTTTATTCGAAACAAATAAATTATACAAACGTCTAGAACACAGGCTACTTCGGCGTGGAGAGGAAACGTAAGAGGGCGAGGAATTCGTTTAAGGAAGTCTTTGCAGAGTTTAGTTTTTGAGGAGGGTGCACCCCGACTGGTTAAATTCGGGGTGTTAGCGATTCTCTTAGATAAATTGTTAGGATTTTGCGAGGGGACGAAACGAAACGCCTAACGACGTCGATCGATTTTTCAGGTAAACACCGCAAGCACCCCGGAGGTAGAGGTAACGCCGGAGGTCAGCATCACCATAGAATTAACTTCGATAAATAGTAAGTACGGCGGGCCGGACGTTGCCTTTTTTGTATATTCGAAATACCGATTTGGTCTTTTATCCTTCAGTCATCCGGGCTATTTCGGAAAGGTGGGCATGAGGAACTTTCACCTGAGGAAGAACCATTATTGGAAGCCGTGCATCAACCTGGACAAATTGTGGTCGTTGGTTACCGAACAGACCAGGAAGAAGTACGAGAAGGACCCGGAAGGAAAGGCGCCCGTGGTGGATGTGGTCCGAGCGGTGAGTGGTCTTCCCCCTTTTCTGGCGGGAAAGGGGATGGTCACCCTTCTAACCCTTCTTTGTTCTTTCTCAGGGCTACTTCAAGGTGTTGGGCAAGGGTCGTCTGCCCAAGCAACCGGTCATCGTCAAGGCCAAGTTCTTCAGCAAGAGAGCGGAGGATAAGATCAAGGCGGTGGGAGGCGCCTGTGTGTTGACGGCTTAAGAGTTAATAAATAGTGGAAAATGACTTTTTGTTTTTTTTTTCGGAAGTCGCGATAAAACCTGGCTCGCGCCGCTCCCACGCTAATCGAGTACAAGTACAGTAATACCCCCGAACTTAAGCGATAGGTGGGACCGAGCGAAAACCGCGTAAGTCGGGGTATAATTTCGCATATAAATACAAATAATTTTTAATTGGAGCCTGAGACTAAAGAAAACAATAATTTAGAAAAAATGTTTAATAGAATCTTAGATAATACATACGTATAACAAATTATATTATTATACAATTTTTCACATTTACTCGATTATCACACCATAATTTTAACATGGTTTCCATCTCGGATAATACCGTGACGTTTACGAATGATGCTCGAATTTAAAGATGGAGCATTTTTCGCAGCTTCGAGAATTTTTTCTTTGCCTTTTATAATTCTGACCGTCGATTCCAGTAGATCAAACTTCTTTTGCCAATTCACAAATTTTCATTTTTGTATCCAAGTCTTTAATTTAATAATGTTTAACTTTCCATTCCAAAGATAAAGTTTTTTTTCTTGTTTGATGCGGAAGAATCTACTTCGTTTGGATGACATAGTAGAATCTCCGTAGATATAACAAGCTATGCGTCGATTCCGCGCGACACGTACGAACATGTAAACCGAACAATCGAGAGTCGCGTGGCGCTCAAACAAAAGACGAATCGACGAGATTTGAAAATCGCGTAAGTCGAGGTATTACCGTACGGTAAAACGTTCCTCCGTCGTTCCCGCCACTCCGAGGTCCTCCGATTTTTATTGGCGATTCCGGGAAGAACGAGAACGGAAACGTTATTTACCAGCCCGAAGTTCGTAAAAATTTTTCCCTTCGAGTTTCGTTTTGGCGTCGTCGCGCGTTTCTTTCCTAATTTTACAAAATGCCCGTGCCGAGAAATTGCCCTTATATTTTTTTTTTTTTTTTTATTTTTATATTACGTAAATCGTCGCCTAGACTGTTCCAATAGAAGATTAATTGAAAGATCGGTGCAGATCTCCCCATCTCCAGTTTAACAATTGGAAGACTTTAATTAACAATTATAAAACAGTTATAAATTAACGTTATCCGAAAAGTCTCGTACGGCATTCTTAAACCGGAGCGTTAAATTGGGAGATAATCGGTATATTCACCAATGTTTTTATTCTCACGAAATGGCTGAACAAATAGCAATTCCCGTTGCGTCTGACTGGAAAGTCGAGTAGAAAAAACCGCCATCTCGCGTGACGTTGTCTTTGAACCCGCGTCGAAGTATTCTTAATTCTCGCTGCGGCAATCCGTGAAGCGTGACGAGAGAAAAGGAACGAGTTAGAAGTAGGATCTAAAGGGAGGCGTCGTAAATTGGCGGTGGAAAACCGAGACAAATCGCGGCGAAGAATCGTTCGTATTAATAGAGAAATCCCGAGCGACGTCGCCTGGCTATTTATTCCCATCCACCGAGTATATTTTGCGATAATTCTTCGTAACCCCTGGTGATTTTCTTCGCGCCACCCGACCGAATAGCCGTTTCGTTCTCGAGATTTCGCTTCCGAACAGACATTCTTTAAAAATTCGAATATATACTTAAGAGAAAGGAGAGTCGCGGGGGTGTTTCTTACAAATTTGTGTGTCGTAAGAGGTGCTCTTCCGTTTTCTCCGGTAATCGCGGGTACATCCGTAAATATCGAGTAGTGACGACACGCGATAGTTTATATTGTTTTTAACTTTGTCGAGTACAGAATTCGACTATCGACTGTTTTAAGATTAAATACGGGATTTTCAACAAATCATTCGTTTACAACTTCAATTTAGGATCAGACCTTTAGACAATTCTCCCTAAAATACTTACAAAGTCCCATGATTTTCTGCGATCTGTTTTTGTTTTCGTTTTCTATTCCGGTAATTTCCTTTTTTCGTCGGCGAGTTTTTAGTCTCCACATTAATTTTCTATCTCGGAGTATTCTCGCCAGTATCGTAGCGTAGTGGGGGCGGCAAAATTTCACAATAAATAATATCTTGTAAGAATTTGAACTATTTTATTTCATATTTTCGTCCACCTACGACTCGGACCGATTGAAATGAGGACGGAATAGTGTTCCATCCATCCGGATTGTCCGGGAATCGACTCGCCGTCCGGGGATATCGTGCGCAACCTGTTGACCTTTTTTGTTTTTGCTTGTACGATTTATTCGTATATATATATACACCTCCAATATTCAATACAGCTAGGTCACTGGCGTTACTCCTACCCGAGTCTCCCTAGTCGCTAACTGTAACTGATTTAGAACCGGCATGTACTGCAAATTATTCTTCGCATTGCAAAATGACAAGCACGCGTCAAGAACTTCTGTTCGAACAAATCTCACCCGCCGTCCGGGTCGGCGATTTTAATAAGGTGGCAACACGGAATTTTTCATTACTTATTCTGTTACGAAACTGAATTTTGGTCTTTTAAATCGAGATACCTAAATAAGGGGGTCGAAATTTTCCTCCGCCCCGGGCGGCTGACACCCACGCTACGCCAGTGCTTCTCGCGACCGGCAAAATATTGATATTTCGTAGTTTAAAATAGTTCGATTCAACGGGTGTGCATTCTGCCATCGTTTCTTTGTAGGCGTTTACTCTGTTAAATTTAACATTACTTTTTAAAATACATTCAGTTTTAGGTTTCTCGTTAACTAATGTTTGCCATTACTCTTATAATACTCTTTGTATACATTTTTGACAAGTTTTGAGTAGTTATTTTAACTTATACCGAGCCGTTAATAGGTCTAAAATAAACTTATTTCGAATACTTAAAAATTATAGATGGCAAAAATACCAGGCCGCGCTAGGTACAGTACGTAACGTAACTTAAACTTTAAAAGTTTACAAATTAGGATAAGATCCGAAAAAAGACAAGATCCCGATTGATTTAAGACGAAATCTGGAAAAATACGCGAGTAGAAAACCGAAAGTTACCGATGTAGATTCTAAAATGTAATAAAAATCGTGTAAATGTCGAATACCCGGATGGAGTCCGAGTTCGATTCCCATCGTCAACGGTGTACAATTGGGCACTAATTGGTTTATACTCTAGCTTATATCATAAATCCGCAGAATCTGATGGGAACGAATTTCGGTTCCTCGTATTCGTTTACAAAATCGCCTTCCAGTTTTTGTTTAATGGGTGACCCCGCGGACCCTCTAGTAACGCCTTACGCTTTATTTCCCAGTAACTAAATAGGAAAAGTGTAGGCGACGTATAAACGACGCGGTGTCGGATGATCGTTTTTAATCGTAAGTATTAAGAAAGAATACGGTAATTTCTCGCAGCATCCGAGCTTATTTCGATTACGCGTCGTTGTAAAAGACGTATTGGCGTCCGCAGTTTACCCAAGAGGGTGGTCGAGTCGAATTTATTACGAATCGTGACCGAAATACGCCGTAAAAAAGACTAAAAAGTCCTATACTGTACGAGGCTTCCTTCTAGCGTAATCGCGAACGTTTGTACAATTAATCTATAGGAAAATGTGTACTAAACACATTATTAATATTTACTTATTCCATTTAAAAAAGAAATGCCGACACCATTTTAATAAAATTGTCGGAGCGAACGAAAGGTAACGCGTATCTTAATCCGGATTTGCCAACAAATTATCGCGCATTTATTCGCAATCCACTTAATCCACGTTTGGTTACTTTAAACACGATTATTATTAATTCATTAAAGCAATTGTGTTTCGCTGAATAATGCCTCGACGATGCTTCGGTTAGACGTTTGTTTCGTGAATATTTCCGAAATTGCGAGTAATTTATTTTGTGTAATGAACGAAACGGATAAGAAAAGAACCGAAAACGTACTAACTTGTGATTTTGACGTAACGGAAAATTTCTTGGCATAATTTATTTAACAATAACTTTGGTCGAGAATGAAGAGTTCTGCTTCTCCCTCTTACCTGTTGCTTCGGTCGTTACGTCTCTTTTTCTACCGACCGCGAAATCTCTATCGATTTTATTCGTATTGATGCTTGGTAACTAGAAAATAGTAGTTACGTAACTACGTATTTTATTAACTAGACGGTAAAAAACTCACGAGTCGAACTTTGTTCGTTATAAGGAAACTCGAAATAAGGCTATTAATTAACGCGACGTAATGATAAAGACAGAATTGCGTTTGAAACAATACGAAATTCCTTGGAATACGTGTCGTTTGTTGTACCGTATTCCAAACACAACTAACGTTTCTTACATTCGGCATTAAAATTCCGGAAACGGAAACTTTGGGTAAAATCGGACGAATCCGATTAATACGAAACAACCGCTCATTAATTAGAATAGAAGTTTGGAGGCGGAATCTTGGCGTTGTTGTCGTAATAAGTTCTCCGGAACAATGCGTGACCGGCAAAGATTTCGTCCACGTATTTTTATTCTTGTAAAGTACGGTCTTTGTTTTTTCGCCTGGCGTTTGAATTACTAATTTTATTTTTGTAATTAATAGTAAACGGACAGTTTTTCGTTCGCGAGGAAATTTTGCACCGCGACGTGTTTTATGACTTTTTCGTACTTTGGCAATTTAATGGCGTAACGATCCTTTAACGACTTAAAAAACATACGAAGGTTTTGCCATTTCGTTTTTTTTTTATTTTAATATTTTGCAAAAGAGATCGTAATTAATTTCTTCTAATCGTAAACGTTTTACGCTCAATAAAGACGGCGATAAAAAATTAAATCGGCAATTCCTACCTTAAAAATATAACCCGGTAATAAGAATTTTGTAAAATGAAACTGAAATTCCGGTGCGCAATTAGTTATTGAACGGTGCCACCGTCCGCCATATTTAATTAAAACAATCTTCCCGTTTTTATTGATTAACTATAGAAAAGAAACAATTGTTCGGTGGTCGGAATGAGGTTTACGCCTTTTCCGAGGAAACGAACGACGTCTGAGGCCATGGGTTGGAGATCCGTCTGTTCCGGTGTTGTCGTGTCTGTTAAAATTCGCGATAGTATGTACTCGAGAATTCTGGGAACGCCACTTCTGGATACTTTCTGGTCTTCGGAGGAACTTGCATATACTGTACGTAAATAGCGAACGAGTCGAATATCGCCTTCGCTTTTGAACGATAACTAACCGCCAAACCGGAAATACTTAACCGTCCGACGGCGAGTTTCCGCTTCCCAACGATCCGTAGCATCAATTAGCGTTTTAACAATTAACCTCCGTCCTCGTCAATATAACGCATTTAAGTCTCTTAAGTGTCTATTGTCTCGCTTTTTTCTTCGTTTAGATTTTAATTTTTATATTCGAATAAAAATTAATTAAAAATTTAGGCCACTTCCTCGTGTTTTCTTTTCTCTCTCTGCCGTTTTCCACGGACAAAAAATTTTTGGGTAGAATCGTTAAAAATCGAATTATTCGTTTATCGTCGAACGGCGGAAACTCGGTTATCCGAAACCGCTTTAAAAAATAAAAAACAATAGAACGTGTAGGTTGTGCCAACATGCCTCAAAGTATAACACGGAGATCACTCCACGTAACTGGAGATTACTACTTTATCCGTCGATTGCAGCGCCGCGAAACTAGATCATACAGGTAACACTACGTCAGATTTTGAGTAAATTAATTAAGGATACTTTCAAAAATTGCAAATTCTTGCGCGGGGCACGAGAATAGCTAATTACGGCACTGCCACAGCCTTTTCGGATTCCACAGCAAATCAGTAAAAGTTATATTGAGTCGAATGGAAAATTTTTGCCTATTTTAAACAGCCGTTGTTACTTAACACGGTCGTGTGACTTAATCGTAACGGTGGTGAAATTTAACACATTATTGCGAAAGAGAGATCGTATTCTTTGTTTAGAAGCTCATTTTAAACTTTTTACTTCATATTTTGTTTGAATAAAAAAGAATGGAAATATCTTAATAAAAAGTATATCTATGAACTTCGCAAAGGATATAACGACGCACAAACGGTAAAAAGGTTATGGGATGTAAGGGGAATATGCAAATGTAGTTCAGAAAGATCGGTGGGCAAATATCCAACTAACGGATAAGCAATGTAAGGTTTTAATTCGAAAGACGTCTACCAAGAAAAATTGCGGCAAGAAGTTGTTAAAAATCGACGAAAGACACAATAGAGAGGTTGCGGCCGACGTTTTCATGGCGAAAACGTGTACGTCGGACGTTCGGCGCCGCCTTCCTGTAAGCCTAGAAGTTTGACAATGGCGTTTGGAACGTCAGTGGAATCATGCTCGACGTTCCAAACGCCATTGTCAAACTTTTAAGCTTACAGGAATGCGGCGCCGAACGTCCGACGTTCACGTTTTCGCCATGAAAACGTCGGCCGCAACCTCTCTAATATAGATAACTAAACGTGCCGAAAGCGTGCGCATTTTCTCGGTGCGTGCACGGTTCGAACTCCGAAGCATCGTTCGAAATCCCAGGCAAATTTATGCCGAATTTAGCGTTGGAAGTTCTAGGTACCACTGTAATTAAGTAAAAGTGTATTGATGTAATTAATTATGTCAAGCTTTGCCTCCCGAAAAATTTTCTGCGGACTCTTACAACAGTATCATAAAGTGCGTTTTTGCTTTCGTCACGTAAACTTAAGCTACCGTTAGGTTTACTACACTCGAACTGTAACTAACGGGCCCGGTGCTGGCTGGAAAAGAGAAAAATAGCAGTCGGAAGTCTTTTACTTCGCTCCTAAAGCGCCTCTCTATGATTTATTCCCGGCTACCGGGCTGCTTTCAAATAAAGTATTCGTACGCGCGGTGCTCGTACCCAAAACACAAAAACAAGCGAATTTCTAGATTATCCGGAATTTCGTCCGCGAAAGCCCGGATCCATCGAGATCGGATAATCGAGTTTTCGCCTCGTCTGTCGGGGATGCCAAACGACTCGGTATCTATTTCGCTAAGGGGTTTCGAGGATTTACGTAGTGTGACGTAAGTGGCCTTTTTCCGGTCCGAAAGCCAGACGGATCGGTAAATTCCGTTCGGGTGGAGAACCGAATGTTTCGTCCGACGCGAAAGTTATGGACTGAGACCGATCACCTTGAGCAGATTTACTGGAGACCGTTTATTAATATCGGAAAGCTTAATGATCGACGAGCAGGGTGGCGGGGAAGGAGGGGTGGAATCGGACTAGCGGGTGGGGGACGCGTCCTCAATAGTCCGCCACCATTCCTCCGCGCATCCAATTCTCGGCCGACGGCTCCCGCATCTGTCTCATCCGTCCGTCCTGCAAGAAAGATACCGGTCAGGGGTCGTCTCGGCACTTCCGCCCCCCGTCCTCACTCACCGTTCTTTCGTCCGCTGCCGCATCCGCGTACATTTCCGGCGGAGCCGGACGCCAGGGCTCCACCGATCGGTCCGGGTCCTGGATGGGGCGGTGCCTGGAGGAAAACGGACGAAGTCAATCCAAAGTAGAAAGAGACCTCTAGCGGAGGAAAATCGGCGGTACTTACCTGGAGATTTCTCTGGGGTACGGTAGGGATCTTTTGGCGCTTATCCCTCGGCACAAAGGTGCGAAGACGAATTTTCTGGAATAGAAAGAGAGTTAATCGTCGTCTAATATAGAGTACGCGCGCGTTTCTGCCACGGCCCGGCTAAGCTTCGACGTTTTCTTCTAACAAACTGGACTTACGAATAGAAAATTCTGCGCACCGTGGGTTACAACGCCGAAAAATTCGGAATCCGACTGTCGAAAATAAAACGTTTGTCCGTGTTTCGTTTACGGTCTACGCACAAAATATTGCAGTTAATATAAACTAGGATTAAAATAAACATTTATTTCTCGAAAATCAAGAACAAAACAGCGGCGTTTGTAAAATAAATTAAGAACCCAGTGCGGTTAGAATAAAATAGATAAGAAAAATTTAGTCCATCCGCTCTGTAGCGTCATAATTTGCTCGTCCGTTATCTATTAAATTCATTGTAGTCGGTTTATCGCGTAAAAACGCGGTTCCTGGTATGGCTTGTCGGGTTCACCGAGTCCCGCAGATAGCGAACCGGACAGGTTACACATTTTATTTAACTTTAAAGGAAAAACCAAAGAAAGGACGTACTGTACGGAAGATCTCTCCTTCTCCACTTCTCTCTGTCTAGACCATAAAAACAACTCAACTGTATTTTATTTAAAATGTTACAGTAACAAAATGCCGGCCATATTTAGCCGTTTTTAACTTTTTTCGCTTGACGGGCGCAAAGAGGACCTCTTCGGGCAGCCCATTACGGGTCGGGCCCAGCCGGTAACGGAGAGACGAAAGAAATTTTTTTTTTTTGAAAATGAATGGTAAAACAGATTTCACATCCTGGCGCCGCGGCGCAAGAATTTCTTTCTATTATTTAAATATCTGTGAAAAAATAATAGAAGAATAGGTCGCAGTGTAATTACGCTGGAAATCGTTTAGAATAAAAACGGGAGCGGCGAGCAGACAGCGCGTTTAGGCAAATCGAACGTCGACGCGTATTAAAAATCACTTCCGTTCGTCGCATCGATCCGCTCGGCCGTTTCAAATTATCTGAATAATTCGTTGGAAATAAAGCGACGAGTTCGGACGCTCCACACCTCTTCGCCTTTCCATTATTTGTTACAATTTACGTTCTCTATTTTAAAATGTCGCCACGTATGCACCGATCTGCCAGAGACGACTTTACGTAGCAACTAACGTTTCCGGTCCCGGACTCTGGCTTTTAAATTTTACATTTACGCGGCGGAGACAGGATATTTAAACGTTATAGTCCACCGGATATTCGACGTAAGAGTGGCAAAATCGTAGGATCGCGCGCGTAATTTTCAGTCGCGATTTTTCGCCAAAGGATGGACGGGCCCGTCTAATCGCGAATCCATTGGCCGAGTCGCGGGCGAGGTTGCCGAAAATGCCGCGTTTCCTCCGAATATCCGAAGAATCGCGCCGTGGCCCGGCCCGGAAACGAGGGCTCGGCGTATTGTATAAAAACGCCTAAGCGACGGGACGATGCGGGTAATTATCGATCGATTTTCACTGGAGACGGGGGAGAAGCCGAAGAGGAAGAGAAGGAAAAAGCGCCAGTTTATTTGTTTATTTATCCGAAACGTTCGACGTATTATTAACCACTTTGGCTGCTCTGGGTGTTCCGAATAAACAAACGAATTGGTTTATATATCGATCTCGTCGATAAGAACCGACTAATTATTTAAATCATTAGCGAAGTTCTAAGTGGCGGGTATCCGCGCACTCTTTAATTACAATTAACGAAGCCAATCGCCGAGACTTAAGGGACATTCTCGAACGGACGAGTCGAAAACCATTCGAAGGAGTATACGTAATATCGGACACGCGTTGCCGGCGTAGACTACTACGTAGCCAAGCGAACGGAGACTGGGTTCACTCCGATAGAGGCACGATACCAAAGTCGAGCGTTTACTTTATTCTAAGTACAGAAATTATCCGCCGTATACGATTTTATCGTATAAGCGATTTAATGTCGCGGCCGGGACCGACGATAATTCGAGTTGGTTTCTGTTGCCACGCTCCTACTTTTATCACTTTTTAAATTAAATTTGATTATTTTTCGATCGGTGTTACCTGGCCCGGACCGCACCACCCCGTTTCGTAACCGAAGACCGTCTGGCGAAATGCGGAGGGTGGATAAATCTTCCGTTATTTCTTCGTCGATAAAGGAAGATTTCGCGGATAAAGAATAACAAATAATTAGCCAAGGAATATTTTAAGTTATGTTTAATTTTAAAATATTAAGCGTCTTTTTAAATCGTCGCGGCCGAAGGACCCGCGATATCGCGACTTAAACTGGCGAGTGTTGTTGTTCGGTATCGATTTCTTCTCTTTCGGTGTATTAAAAATGTAAGGAATACACGAGGCACCTTCCTTTGACTTATTTACCCTCGATCTTCCGTCCGTTTTAAGTTCGTTTCGAAGGAAGCGGGTAATTCGTTACTCCAAAAATTCGATTTCCAATCCAAATGTTTCGTAGAAAGTAAACAGATATTTCTTTATTTATCGAACGCTAAATGAATAATTCCTTATTTTTCCATAATATTTGCCGAGATCTTAACAATCAAAACACTTTTTACCCAATTAAATTTCGAAAATATGTAAAGAGAAAAACAAACGAAGGTTGTTTACTTACTTCGGATACGGCACTGTACATAATAAGGTATTATAAATAGAACGATATCCATCCAATTGCGCGTTAACGCGTAACGAGTCTCGAGAAAGTTTCGAACGGCAAAATCTCGCCAAACGATCGTTCCCCGGTGAAGTTTGTCCTTTTATTTTTCGCCTTCTTCGTTTTCGAAGGTAGAAACAAACATTAAATCCACCAAAATATTATTTTAAGCTGGATCTAACCGTTTACAATTTGTATCTTTTCCTTCGTTTCTCAATTGGCGCAATATCCAGAGCCGACTCGTCTCGTTATAACGCGTTATTTTCGTTTGGCCAGTACAATTCTTTAAACGGGACCTGGCGGAATGCCGTTTACCACGCGATTAATAATGTAAATCGTTTGGAAATATCGTTTTCCCTCGTCTTCCGGATATTTTTAACGCGACGGGATTCCATCCCGGCATTCGTCGATGCAATTTCGCGGTGACGGACGGTGTCGTAATATATTAATGAGGCGTAAAAGTTGTCGGTCGAGTATGTTTCCCGAGTACATACGCGTCAAAAATATCCACTAATGGCCGCGCCGCTTAAATCAATATAACGCTCGGATGAATAGAACATGATCATAAATACTGCAAAATCTGGATACAAAAGTTCTCCATAAATGCCATTTAACCCAATATTTTTGGAGAAGGAAAGATGGATTCTCCTTCCCCATCTGGCAATCTCCGATAGATACTCCTCTGGTAGAAAGGGGTTTTTTTGTAGGATACAATCTTTCCCCGATGGAAACCTCTCTCGTAGGAGGCCATCTTCTTCCGTAAGATGGAATTTTTCCTAAATTCCCAGTGTCGATATTAAATTAATTAAATTTTGGCCAAAAACCGCATTTTCCGTCGGAAGGATCCTCCGAGTTAACTGCAATAGAGGCGAATTTCGGTAATTCGTTGCCACAAAAATCGGCGTAAAAAAAATGGAAATTTAACTGGAAAACACCTCATTCTACTTTATTATTTTAAACTAAATTAAAAAATACTATAATTACTTTAATTTATTAATTACGTATCGGGGAAAGAATCCAAAAAGTAGAGATTAAATCGAGGCTTTCGGCGGACGAAATACGAAAAGAAAATGAATTTACATGGGTTAAATTAAAGAAACGTTGATAAATTTGTATTAATTTTCGACGTAACGCCATGTGAAAACGTTTTGTTGACTTAACCTAACTAATTGCCGTAATTAAGGGCAATAAAACGGTATAATGTCAAAGTTCATCCCGCCAGGATCTCCTATTCCTCGCCAAGATAATTGGATGTCGAATGACGATAAAAACGCTTCTTTCGTCGTCTTCTCTACGGTTGTTTTAAGTAAAAGTTTTGTAAAGTGAGGCGATAAAATTTGTCATCGATTTATTAAACGAAGAGACGGAAGAGGAGAATAGAATCGGCATTTATAAAATGGAAATCCCCTCCGTATCGAGTTTGGAAACATTTTTCAGAAATAACTACGCTCAAACCTGGATTTAGACACTAAATAGCCAGTGGACAAAAATTATGGTAGGCGTAGTAACGAAATCTACGTACGAGGAAGCCGCAAAGAGCGTAAAGTTTAAACGTCCGAAGGGAGCGCCCGACATCGAACGCGTTAACACGTATTTATATGCGCATGTAGTCGACTAATAAGTAACTAAGGCCGAGCCATCCTTTGCTTATGCATGAAGATTTCGAATCCTCCGAGAATCCTTTCTATACGATATATTATATTAAAATCGGTACGTCCTCTTTCTTCCTTCCGATAAAATTAGATAATCCTCGCATTTGGAAAAAGTTCTTTCGCCCGAGACTCTGTAGGCTGGTCGACAATTGTTTTTATAGACGTTTTATTATTAATTCTACTAAAATATTAAGCTCGTGTAACGTAAAGAGAGGTCTCGTCCCTTACCCGCGACAGAGAAGCGCATACATAATGCACGTTGCGCATTATTTACCATTGCAAACGGGTTTCCGACGCTTTCGGTCTTCGCCTATCGACTGACAAAACGAAGCTGTAAATTAGTCAAAGTGTCTTCTACTTTATCGACTACACCAGTCCGTTCTGTAGTATACCGGAAGAAAATTCCAGAAACACTTTATTATAGATTTACGAGTAAACTAAAACGAATATTTTCTTCTTTCTTCCATCGCCTCGTAGCGTTAACGTTGGTGTTTACGAACGACTTTGTGTGAAATGCCGATAAACTAGGAAAAGATTTCGAGTTTTATTTCCTGGTAAATTAATTCTTTTAGGTGTAAATTTCTAATTCCTCTTCGCCCCACGGTGGATTCTTCCTTTCGCTTAATGTATGGCGTGGACCAGGAACACTAAAAGACGGGACGAGGAATCTTCCGGCCAAGGAATGTGGCCGTAGACTCGACACCACTTATTTCTTTTCG